TTGCAGCCTGTTAAATTTGTCATTATGCTCTTCTCTAATCTTTTTAATTTCGTCTATTGTGTGTTCTGCATTTTGATTAATTTCATTCCTAATTTCTTGAAGAGTTCTGTATATTCATCTTTTGTATTCTGCCTCCGGTAATTCCAAGAAATTTTCCTCCTCTGGAAAATTTCTAGATTGTTTATTTTGGGAGCTTGCTGAAGCCATCATGGATCGCCTCTTTATGTGATTTGATATTGACTGTTGTCTCCGAACCATCAATAAGTTATTATATTTATTTATTTTATGTTTGCTTACTGTGTCCTAGCTTTTTGTTTTGTTTTGATATACCCAAATAGGCTGCTCGTGTGAGCTAGTTTGATTATTGGCACCTTTGAAGCTCTAATGTCCTGTCACCAGGTGGTTAGATCTGTTACTAGTATGTGAGCTCAGGATTCTACCCACTCCTCCTATATGGATTCAACTCAGGTGCCCAGGTAGATAGCCACCAAGTGTGTGGTGTAGGCTCTCACTTACAGCCCTAGACAGGCATGAGTGATTGGTGTAGGCACACACATCTGGCTGTAGCAGGGGGACACGCTCTGAGCAATGCAGGGGGCTGACAGCTGTCCCCAAGTGTCCAGGATGAAGGCATGTCCCTGTTCCCTAGAGCGCGTAGGTAGTTGGGTTTTGCAGCTGGACTATGAGCACCTAATGCTGCTGGCTGTAAGGACTGGGGGGCACTTCTTAGTTATGGGCCCCTATCGCAGGTGTCTAGGTGCTGTGGGTGGAGCCACCAGTCCTCAGGCCCCTGATGTGGGTAGGTGAAGACCCTGCTTAATGGGCAGAGCAGTGTCAAATGTCAATAACCTGCCACTTCACAGCTGAAACAGTTGCAGTTAGACTTCAGGTATATACTCTGTTGTACTGTGGTAGTGAGGGCCTATGCTGTTGAAATGGGCCCACACAAGTCTATGCAGGGGAAAGGCACTCAAAGTCCATGGATCCCTTATGCCTGTGCCTAGGCAAAGGAGCTGTGCCTACCCTGGGTAGGGGAGCTGGCAGTTTATTTTTTCCCCCTGTTCGTTAATTTGCTCACTCTCCAAGGCAGGGAGAACGGCTCCAGGTGTGTGATGGATCCTACTTCCGGCCCAGGGGACTCGGCAATTGCTGAAGCCAGTCCAGGACCCAGTGCAGAGCAGGGAGCGGGGAGGTAAATGGGAGAGAAGTTTTTCCCTAAGGGGAGTGTTTCTGATCTGCATGGTAGGCCATAAGCAAGTACTTATCTTTTGCCAATCAAGGGCTGCTTTTCACTGGTTCTGGGTGGCTGTGTAGACTGTCTGGTGCTGGGTCTCTTCTGGTGCAGAAAACGCACCTCCCAAGCACCACTGCTTGCCTGCCTCACCGCTCATCCATGAGCTGAATATGCCTGAAGGGCTCATGTTCTCGCTGGGTCAGGTCTGGCAACTCCTCGCTGCTTCTGAATTGTCTATCCCTTTCCCTGCCACTCAGTCCAGTTCCTCAGCTCTGCCTTTGACATTTAGGGCTCCCAGATTGCCATATATAATCGATTCACTTGTTTTTTGGGGTCTTTGTTGTAAGATGGTCCACTAGAAGTGTATGAGTACTCTGCCATCTTGGCCCCGCCTCCTTAACTCTAATATTTTAAAATTGTCTCTGTATTCACCTCACCACTGCATAAAGGTCTTCCTTAATTTAGAACAGTTCACTCACTTGGCAGCATTTGATCAATAATTTTTGCCTATAGCAGTTAGGATTTAGTCAAGCATCATTAGTGAGCTATTTACCCATTCACACAAAATTAGGGTTTTTTTCCCCAAGAGTTCAGAAACCATAGGAAAGAGGAGAGGCAGTCAGATTTTTGTTAACTTTCCATAGAAGCAGCTTAAAAAAAAGAAATCAATCTTAACAGTAAGGATAATCCATCAATAAATTATTCATATAAGAAATTCATTTCTTCAAGGACTGACTGTGAAGCTTAGAGCCAGACTTGCCAGGTGTTACAGGCAAAGCTTCCATGTGTTTTTTTCCATCAAGTTCTGACTTCTTCATTCATAGTATCATTTGTTCACCTTTTCTTCTCAGGTTCCTACAATGTCTTAGAAAAGTCTGTGAACTCAGTTACGCCACTTAATACTGGACAACAGGTAGTTCACAAGCTCACCTGGCATCCCCTCCGTGCATTGGGAACCTGGAGTTGCTCTACTAATAGAGCAAATGGAGGGAAAGCACTCTCAATGTCAAAAGGATACGTCCTTTATCCCAACCCAGCTCCTTGGCCAGGAGAAGTGCATTTATTTCCTAGCGCTGCTGTACAAAGTACAACTAACTGAGTGGCTTTAATTTAAACAACAGAAGTTTATTCTCTCACAGTTCTGGAGGCTAGAAGGTGTTAGCAATGACGTTCTCCTTCTGAGGGCTCTGGCAAGAGTCTGTTCCATGCCTCTCTCCTGGCTGCTGGTGGAGGCCAGCAATCCTTGGCCTTCCTTGGCTTGTAGACACATCACTCCAATTGCTGCTTCCCTCTTCACCTGGCTTTCTCCCTATATGGCTGTGTCTCTTCTTATAAGGACACCAGGCATATTGGATTAGTGACTCACCTTACTCCAGTATGACCTCATCTTAACTAATTACATCTGCAAGGACCTTATTTCCAAATAAGTTTCCAGAAAAGGACATGAATTTGTAAGACACTGTCCAACCAGGTAGTCTCTGGGTGGCACAAATGGTTAAGCACTCGGCCTCTAACCTAAAGGTTGGTGGTTCAAATGCACCAAGAGACACCTCTGAAGAAAGACATGACAGTCTGCTTCTGAAAGTTCACAACCATTGAAGATCCCTTGGAGCACAGTTCTACTCTGACATACATGAGGTTGCCATGAGTAGGAATCAACTTGACAGCAACTGGTTTTTTATGCAACCAAGTATAAGGAGCAGGTCCAAGTTTAAGTTACCATTGCTTGTTCCTTCCCTCCCCTACAGAGGCAGGGTTCCTGGACGATGTGGTGTATGACAGCACTGCCTTGGGTCCTGGCTATGACCGCCCCTTCCAGTTTGACCCCAGTGTGCGGGAGCCAAAGACTATCCAACTCTACAAACACCTGAATCTAAAGAGCTGTGTCTGGACCTTTGATGCTTATTACGACATGACAGAGTTAATTGATGTCTGTGGAGGGTCTGTAACTGCTGACTTCCAGGTGGGTGCTCCACGGGCTTGTCTGAGGACTGTATATATGGTACCATGCCCACCCTTGTCTGTTTCTGAAGCACTTCAGTTAGCACTTTGTATCCAGTGACCCCCGGTGCTGGGCCAACCAACTAGAGGAGTCTTCTTTATAAGTACAAGAGAGACCTTGGCAGCATCATGGCTAAAGAAAACCTCAAAAGTCTTCTAAATCAAATTAATGTGCCAGAAAATTACAGTTGGGCACAGCCATTTATATAAAAGTAAAATATTTACTTCTCTGGATATATGTATCTTTCCCTCTGGATGTATTTTGGAAAGTCGAAAAGAAGACTTACATTTGATGGTAGAGTTAGCAGTATGGAGATGTACTCTCTTCTGCATCTGGGGAAATGAGCCAGGATAAGCATGGTGCACTCTATCATTCAGAAGAGAAGAAGAGCAATGTCACCCTAAGCATAAGGGAGAGAATTGTTTTAAATAGTTTGATTTCATACTTATTTGAAACTGACAACCCCTGTAAAAAGATACTTTTTTTTTTTTTTTACAGTCATTAAACATTAGTGACTATAGGAAATTTTATAGCAAGAAGCCAGGGTCCTAGAAGTGCACTTACATCAACGTGCCAGTGAAACCAGGCTCATCCGTTCTTGTGGGAAAATTAATCCTAAAGCTGGTTCTACCCGATTTTGAGCCGTTATCTCAATGAGCTAAAAATTACTTAGATATTTGCTCTTCATTAACAATCAGGTTTACCCACGCTCAAGGAGGGAACTTGTGGAAGGAATTAGAGAAATCATTTTGGAAAAGTGTCTATCATTAAAATTTGTTTTCTGTGTGATGCCTCTCATTTTTTGGTTCCCTCTCATTTTGTGTACACTATTACCCTCTACTGAATAGAATTTTAAGGCAGGTTTAGGGTTTGTTTCTGTTTCTGCAGTTGCATAACCTACTGTCACTTTTGAAAATGCAAAACTAAGTGATTTATTCCTCTCCTGCCCCTTCAAAAATTAGTATTCTCTGCTTTACATGATTCTGCTTCAATTGCATTTTTTGGACATTTTTGTTCAGAATATTTTTAAAAATCTCAAGGACAGGGATTTCTTATTATATATATCTCATTTCTTAAATGAACATCAGAAAGAATATATACACAGAAGTATTTCATTGTTGCCTGTTTCTTTAAAAATAGTTGAAACAGCTGATGCATGGTAGAAAATAGAACCAAGTCCTAGTTTAAATTTTCTGTAACAAATATCAATAGATTTGCATGAGACATAACCTCTCTGAACTTCATCTGAAATTTTGATGGATAATCCTAACATAATATATGAAAAGGCACCTAGTACAGGGTCTGGCACAAAATATATGTGCGGTAAATATTTGTCTTTTATTTTATTTTTTTAAGGAGTAGTAAGTAACATCAAAAGGACCTGGGGCAGTGGTTAAGCGCTCGGCTGCTAACCCAAAGGTCAGCGTTCAAACCCGCCAGCGGCTCTGCAGGAGAAAGATGTGGCATTCTGCTTCCATAAAGATTACAGCCTTGGAAACCCTATGGAGCAGTTCTACTCTATCCTATAGGGTCACTATGAGTCGGAAACGACTTGATGGCAGTGTGGTTAAGTATTATCAAAGAAGCCCTGGTTGCACAGTGGTTAAGCATGCAGCTGCTTACTGAAAGGTTGGCGATTCAAACCCACCATTGGTTCTGCAGGAGAAAAGACCCGGCAATCTGGTACCGTAAAGATTACAGTCTAGGAAACCATATGGGGCAGTTCTACTCTGTTATAAATAGGGTTGCTATGATTCAGAATCAACTTGACGGCACACAACAACAAGTAATATCATGAAGGTTAAAGGAAAATAAACCGAAACAAGGGAAAATTAATTTGGCCATTGAATTAGAGAATTTACTGAGGTTCTAGTATCAACAATTGTGAAATTGAGGCAAGTGTATTTAGTGAAACCTGTGTATTAAGGGGAAGAGCATAGTGTGATGTCCGGAAAAAAACCTTGGAAATTTTCTAAAGAGAACAGAATAAGACCTTTTAGAAAGGAATTTTGAAATGAATATGCAATTAGTAGTGTTTTGAAAAACTTTGGCATCCAATTTTAAATCCCTGACAAATTTGAATATGAAAAAACTCTTTTAGAAAAATTAAGTTTTTGTTGTCTTAAATATTGATAAGGCATTTGTCTCTTTCCCATAATTAAACACTTTACATTTCCCATAAAAACATTACATTGTGTTTTTACACAAAAGAAAAGTTAAGTTCCCTATTCTAATATTTGGCCAATGACAAAATAAAAACATTTTAAACTAAACTTTTTTTGTTATGAAAGAAATACATACTTATGGAGGAAAGATAAAAATATATTTTTTAAAAATTGAAAATAAGCCAACCCCCTGTACATACATATATACAGTTAACTTCACCATGAAAAGTTTTTGCTGATATTTTATTTCCAGCCAGTATTGTTCACTGCATAGCAAAATAAAAGTTATTGAGCCAAATGAATAGTAGTAACAGGGACCCCCTTTGAAGTGTTCTCTTAAAGATATGATTATTTCACCAAAGCATTATATAGGAAGGGAACATAATCCATCTTTCATCCATCATGTCAACAGCTCTGAGCTGTCTGACGGTAAGCTTGCTGGATATGACATCCAAACCCCATGACCTATGCTCCTGGAGCAGGAGACTTGAGTATTCACTAAAACATCCTGAGTCTGGTACACGTTAATCCCTGGATCCAGACTTGGGCATCTTCCTGATTGTGGTTGGTTCAGGCTCTCCTTCAGGACACTGGCAAGCACAGTCAGCCAAGGGAGTACGTACTGAATGGTAGATCCCAGATATGTCAGGTCCATCCCTTGGAAATATTTGTGATACTTTAAAATTTTGGCCAAGGCTTCTAGAAATTGTACAGTGGAAACTAAGCCTGAAGTTTAATCGCTTATTCTCTTCAAAGGTGTTTTTGTTTAAGTGTCACCTCCTCAGAAAAGCCTTCCCGGATCACTATTTAAAGAAGCATCCTGGTCACTTCTATCCCCTTCTCTTACTTTGTTTTTAAAATATATTAGTAAATATGTGAGACATGCCAAAAATACCCACTTTATTTTCTTTATAGTATTTCTCACTATTTGACATTAGATTATCTATGTATTTGCTTTTTTGTTCCTTATTCTGTTGTCCTATATACAGCCAAGAGGGACCGCCTCAAGTCTGGAAGATGCACAGATGTGTGTCCCTCACTAGACTATACGTTCCACATTGTTGTTGTTAGTTGCCATCGAGTTGATTCCAACTCATAGTGACCCCACATGTTACAGGATAGAACTGCCCCATAGAGTTTTCTTGGCTGTAATTTTTATAAAAGCAGGTTACTAGGTCTTTCTCCTGCAGCGCTTCTGGGTGAGTTTAAACTGCCTTTCTATTAACAGCCAGTGCTTAACTGTTGTGCCACCAGGGCTCCTTATACGTTCCATAAGGGGAGTGATTTTGTTTTTTTCCCACTGCTGAGGCTCTGGCTCCTAGCACGGTGCCTAACATAATCATAGGTACTTGATTAATAATTACCGAATGAATGAGTTACTATAAATGAGCGAATGAAAATTGAACCAAGATGTGATGATCACACACCTTCTTAGGGAAGAACTAACTCTCCCTGTGTGCACACCATTTGTTTGGCAGGTGAGAGACTCTGCTCAGTCATTCTTGACGGTGCACGTCCCTCTCTATGTCTCCTACATCTATGTGACAGCCCCCAGGGGCTGGGCCTCCTTGGAGCACCACACCGAGATGGAGTTTTCCTTCTTCTATGACACTGTTCTCTGGAGAACAGGTATACCCATTGAGACCTTAACTATTACTGTCATATATATGCTCAGGCAAAATTAAAAGAAAAAAAATAAGCAGTGACTTTTAACATTTGCTGCATTCCTTATCCTTTTGTCCTGTACACAGTCATTGGAGGGCTGCCTCAAGTCTGGAAAATACACAAAGCTGGGGTTCCTGAAAAAAAAATAGAGATACATATATGCTGACAGCCTCCAGGGGTAGAGAATTCAGCCCAGATAGCTAGGGGCCTAGAGTAAAGGGTGGCAAGTGACAAGGGATCCTATACTGCCCACTAGGGAGTCAGAGGAGTGTTCTTTCATAGTATAATAATCTTCATTAGTTCACAGTGGTGTGAGCCATGTCATTATGTTGTTTAAGAAATAACCATTACCACCAGTTACAGTTAAGTCAGTTCTGACTCATGGTGACCCCATGTGTGTCAGAGTAGAACTGTGCATCATAGGATTTTCAATGACTGAAGCTGATCACTAGGCCTTTTTCCGAAGTACCTTTTGAGTGGACTCAAACCTCCAGCCTCTTGGTTAGTAGCTGAGGGCGTTAACCATTTACACCACTCAGGGACTCCTCTAAGAAGTAAGTGGAACTTTAAAAAAGAACCAAGTAGAGTGATCTATTTTACAGTTTTAGTTTGCAGATATCTCTAAATAGACTATATATTTATGTGAAAGTTAATTTTCTCAAGATACGTTCAAATAAACGCACAGCTCTGCTTAGAGATGTCGCTGGGATAACTACATGTAGGTTACTGTCTACGAGGTCTTCTTGTGCCATAACCTGGATGTTTTGTTACGATGCCTATCCAGGAATCCAGACGGACAGTGTGCTCTCTGCAAGACTTCAGATAATCAGAATCTATATTCGAGAGGATGGTCGTCTTGTCATTGAATTCAAGACCCATGCCAAATTCAGAGGTAGTATCAGTGCTATTTTTTTCCAACTTTTATTATGAAAAATTTCAAATATAGAGAAAAGTTGAAAGAATACAACAATGAAAAACATAGACCCTCTACTTAGATTCAACTATTGTTAACATTTTGCTGTGCATGTATGTACGCACACACTTTTTTTTAACCATACCATTTAATGTTAATTTTCCCCTAAATACTTTAGTATGGCATTCTCTTATATAAGGGCATTCTCTTATATAATCACAATACCATTATCACATCCAAGGTATTTAATATTGATTCAATAATATCCAGTCCCTATTCATATTTCCTCTATTGTCAAATTTTTTTCATTTATTTTATATTTATTTTATATCTGTTTATATAAAAGGAACTAGGATCCAAAGTCCATACATTGCATTTGGTTGTTATATCTCTTTAAATCTACAATAGTCTCCCTGCTTTTATTTATTCATGACAACCTATCAATGCTGTTTTAAAGAGTGGAGGTATCTTGCTGATTAACTTTTGCCTTTGTAGTGATGTTTACAATTGTCCTCTTCTACCAATGATTTGTGTGGCCCTAAAAGTGATTTTCATCCAATATTCATTTTTCTATTTGTAAACTACCAAGACCTTTCTACCTCCAAGAATTGGTTGGAATTCAAAGCTAAATGTATTGGGTGCTCATTGTTTATAAAGACCCTTATTATTACTGATATGCTCATTAGCACCATCTCCACAAGGTACATTCATATTGTTTATAAACAAGTATAATCATAACGACTATGACAAGTAGGATGATGGGCTGGAGTAAGATGCCATGCTGTCCCAATCAGTGTGGAAGATATTCTGAGGGGTGAAAGGGTATAACCTTAGTTGTTTGATAAAAGAAGAACATTAATTTAGTTCTTACACTTTCGTAGGGCTTCAACACAAGTACAATAAAACTCACAAGCAAGTGTATGTATTTTCTCTTGAAACAGGACAGTTTGTGATGGAGCACCACACTCTCCCTGACATGAAATCTTTCATATTGACTCCAGACCACCTAGGAGGAATTGAATTTGATCTGCAGCTTCTATGGAGTGCTCAGACTTTTGATTCTCCATATCAATTCTGGAGAGCCACTAGCTCTTATAACAGGTGAATACGGGGATGGAGGCTTCCAGGGGTAGATCTGAAATGCTTTCAGTTTCTTTCAGGAGCTTGGGAAACAGGGCTATCTTTAAAGGCTGGATTTCCGTTTTAAAAGGGAGTTCCATGGGCAAAGTAGGGTGGAAATAACCTCCTAGCAAATACAAAAAGAAAAAAATGTAGCTCAGATCAACTTCTAATGTATAAGCCAGGAAGTGCTCACCCAGTTACAAGCGTAAGATCAGAGAGGGCACACATCACTTCCACTCATACCCCATTGGCTAGAACTTAGTCACATGGCCACATCTACCTGCAAGGGAAGCCTAAAAATGTGTCAAGTTAAAACCCTAAGGGAATCTCATTCCAGTTTCCACAGCCAGTGCAAAATCTAGGATCTCTGGTTATTAAGTCTATATGTCACCCCTGATGGTCCACTGTCCTATAAAATAAATGAGAAGAGTTATTCCTCTCCCACCCCCAATTAGAAGAAGGATAGGAATTGGATAAATATAATATCTCATTTGTAAAAGGAATGAATGAGAAAACCACAATTAAAACTATTACCATGAAAAGGATAATGGAGTCTATCATAATATTATTATCCCCATTTTATAGATTATAAAATTATGATCCATATTTAGCATGAAAATCTTGTTCCAGTTTTACAGTTAAGAAGCAGCAGGATCAAGACTTGGAAACTGAGATTTTGTTAAGTTTCTTGGGCTATATATACATATTGTGTTAAGAACATGTCTTGTATCATTATATCAAAAATATTTCCTTAATTATAAATTTCAGATCTTATATCAGTTTTTGTTTAAATAATGACTCCTTTGATATCAATACATAATAATCTTCAAGGAGATTCTTCATAGAACCTTATAAGATTATTTATGTACTTTGTCCCAATTTATAGGCATATAAACTGTCCTTCTTTAGTTTCTCTGCTGATTCCCCATTGCCTATAAGATGAAGTCCAAACTCTTTATGTAGCATACAAGACCTGCTCCTGCCCCTCTAACCTCATCTCAAACCCAGGCTTCTTCCCACATTAACTGTCTCACCACTGCCCGAACACAGCAGCCTATCCATGCCTTTGTGGCTTTGACATTCCTTCTGCCCTTACTGGTTTTTTTCCTTCTGGAAAACCCTAACTCCACTAAGACCCAGTTCAAAAACTGCCCTCTTTGTGACACCTTCCCCATAAGTGCTAGAAGCTCCCTCTTCGTTCCTACTTTGTTCCAGCTTCTACTCTAACATATCTCATTGTGTTGTGATGGTCTGTTTGTTGGTTCTATTTTCCACCAGATTGTGAGCTTCCCACGGTAGAGGGCATGCTTGAGTCATCTTGAATCCCCAGTACCACAAATTTTAGCACATGGTTGTTGTTGTTGTTAGGTGCCGTTGAGTAGGTTCCGAGTCTTAGTGACTCTGTGTACAGCAGAAGGAAACACTGCCCGGTCTTGTGCCATCCTCACGGTGGTTGCTATGTTTGAGCCCATTGTTGCAGCCACTGTGTCAATCCATCTCACTGAGGTTCTTCTTCTTTTTCACTGACCCTCTACTTTACCAAGCATATCTTTTTCCAGGAATTCATCCCTCTTGATAACATGTCCGAAGTAATTGAGATGAAATCTCACCATCCTTGTTTCTAAGGAGCATTCTGGCTGTACTTCCAAGACAGATTTGTTCATTCTTCTGGCAGTACGTGTATATTCAATACTCTTCGCCAACACCCTGATTAAAAGGCATCAATTATTCTCTGGTCTTCCTTACTCACTGTTCAGCTTTCACATGCATACGAGGCAATTGAAAATACCTTGGGTGAGGTGCACCTTAGTTCTCAAGACTGTAAAGAGGTCTTTTGCAGCAGATTTGCCCAATGCAATACATAGTTTGATTTCTTGAATGCTGTTTCCATGGGTGTTGATTGTGAATCCAAGTAAAATGAAATCCTTGACAACTTCAGTTTATTCTCCATTTATCATGATGTTGCTTATTGGTCCAGTTGTGAGGATTTTTGTTTTCTTTATATTGAGGTGTAATTCATACTGAGGGCTGTAGTCTTTGATCTTTATTGGTAAGTGCTTCAAGTCCTCTTAACTTTCATTAAGCAAGGTTGTGTCATCTGCATATCACAGGTTGTTAATGAGTCTTCCTCCGATCCTGATGCCGTATTCTTCTTCATATAGTCTGGCTTCTCAGATTATTTACTCAGCATACAGATTAAGTATAGTGAAAGGATACAACTCCAATGCATACCTTTCCTGATTTTAAACTACACGTTATCCCCTTGTTCTGTTCGAATGACTGCTTCTTGATCTGCTATGTGTTTTGGTAGCACATAGTAAGTCCTGAATAAATATCCTCTGGGAGCTTACAGTGGGAGACGGTTAATGATTAACACAAACAGTTAAATGTACTCAGCGGCTAAACAAAAGGTTGGAGGTTTGATTCCACCCAAAGGCACCTCAGAAGAAAGGCCTGGTGATCTACTTCCAAAAAATCAGCCATTGAAAACCCTATGGCTCACAGTTCTACTCTGACACACATGGGGCCTCCATGAGTCAGAATTCACTTGATGGCAGCTGGACTAGTAGGACCGTACAGTGGAGTTAAGGAGATGAAATATATGGATAAATGACAAACTGAAGAACAACAGTTAGCGTTTTGTGCTAAGTGCACTGTGAGAGATACAGAAAATCAAGACCACAGTTGCTCAGAGAGCAGAGGGCCCAGTATAGGCTGGGGAGTTGTATAAGCTTCCCAGAGGAGATGGGGCAACTTGTGATGTGGGCAATGTTTTGTTTTTAGAAAGGAAGTGAGAAGAACTACATCTAGGACTGTGTTTGGCATATTTTCAGGGACAGTGAGGAAATTGACCTATATAGTATTAGGGATAGGAGAACAGTGGGATTGTGGACTTGGTAGACCTGCAATCTGTCCTGCATTCATTCATTCAACAAATTTTTATTGAACATTTACCATGTGTCAAGCAGGTTCTGCACATTTGGAATCCATCAGTGAACAAAACAAAGATCTCTGCACTCAACACTTCCAGTAAAGTAAGAGACAAAGAGCAGTAGACACCGCAAATAAGTATAGCATATGTTAGAATGTGATAGGTGCTACGGAAAACAAAAGGTCTAGAAAGGATAAAGGAAATCAGTAGATGATATAATTTAATTAGGGTGTTGAGAGTCGGCCTGGATAAAAAGATACATTTCAGCAAAGACTTGAAGGAGGTGAGGAAGTCGGCCATACAGATATCTGGGGGAAGGGACTGTCTGGCAAAGTTCCTAAGTGGTAGCATGCCTGGTCTGCTCAAGGAACAGCAAAGAGGCCAGTGTGGGTGGAGTGGAGTGAGGGAGTAGGAGGGTAATAGGAGATGAGATCAAAAAGGTGAGGGGGTAGGGTTAGGGCCACCCATGTGGGGCCTTGTAGGCCAACGTGGGAACTTAGTTTTACTCTGGTGCAATGGGAGCTGCTGCAGAGTTTGAGCAGAGGAGTGACATGATCTCACCTCACGTTTTAAAAGTAAGAGCCAGGGATAGATGGTTCTGCCTAATTAAATACTTCTATTAATTAAGGGCCACTACTCATATTATGGAGCCCTGGTGGCACAGTGGTAAAGAGCCCAGCTGCGAACCAAAATGTCGGCAGTTCGAATCCACCAGTCACTCCTTGGAAACCCTGTGCGGCAGTTCTACTCTGTCCTGTAGGGTCGCTATGAGTCAGAATGAACTTGACGGCAGTGGGTTTGGGTTTTTGTTTGTTTGTTTACTCATAAGGAGCCCTGGTGGTGCAGTGGCTAAGCACTCAGTTGCTAACAGAAAGGTTGACAGTTTGAACCTACCAGTCGCTTCATGGGAGAAAGATGTGGCAGACTGCTTCTATAAAGATTACAGCCTTGGAAATCCTATGGGCTAGTTCTGCCCTGTCCTATGGGGTCACTATGAGTTGGAATTGACTCGACGGCAATGGGTTTGGTTTGTTTTTTTCTTTTTTTTAAACTCATTTTATACATACATGTCAATTTTCTTGTAATTCAAATGGTGTACAAGATCTCATTTACTGCTGACCCAGAGCTTTGAAGGAAGGGTGGGATCATGAAGGAAAACTGGAGACATCAGACTGTCAGAGCAGGAAGGTTAGAAACCAAAGCCACTGTCTTAGTTTCCTAGTGCTGTTACAGCAGAAAGAGCACAAGTGGGTGGTTTTAACAAACAGAAATTTGTTTTCTCACAGCTTAGAAGGCTAGAAGTCCCGAGTTCAGGGCATCAGCTCTAGGGGAAGGCTTGCTTTCTCTGCCAGCTCTGGGGGAAGGTTCTTGTCTCTTTTCAGCTTCTGTTCCTCAGTTCCTTGGCATCTGTTTTCCCCCATTGTGCTTCCTTGCTTCTGTGCCTAATCTGCTCTTTTTGTACCTCAAAAGTGATTGGCTTAACACATCAGTGGCCCTACACTTATGTGTCCTCATTAACATGACAAAGAAAACTCTATTCCCAAGTGGGATTACAACCATAGGTCCATAGGTATGGGGGGGTTAGTATTGCAACACATATTTTGGGAGTATACAATTCAATCCATAACAACCCCAAAACATCTAACAGCATACAACTGTGGCAGAGGCAAAGCAAGGACTAGACTGTCCCCCATTTCTAGCCTTGTGTCATTCCACTAAACTGGCCCAAGAATGTGTCATAAAGGTTTTATTTTATTTTTTTACCAAATTTTTGCTATCACTTTACTAATTAAAAAAAATGCAAAAAATGGTCAATGAATGAACACAGCAAGTGTGAGCACTGGTCCCAGATCACTCACAACAGAGTTATAATTAAGATTCACAGCCCTGTGCTCTTCATTCAATGGATGGCAGCCTCCCAAGGCCCTTGAAGAATCTCCCTGAAGTGTCTGGATCTCTGGCTGCTTTCCAGGCAACCTGCCAGGGCTGGAGCTGCTGCCCAATGACAAGCGTGGAAAATAAAGTTGGTGAGGGGGACAAAGGCTGTGTATTCTCAGTGTCACTACCTAGAAAATCCTGTGCCCTACCACAAACAGGAACGATCCCAAGGAGTAGTCTAGGAGAAGTGATATTTTTCTTCAACTTTGTAAAAAAAAGTGGCTGTAGAGTTAGAAAGGAAAAAAAACAATTGCCATGGAGTTGACTGACCCATGGCAATCTCATGTATGTCAGCATAGAACTGTGCTCCATAGGGAGGGTTTTCAATGGCTGTGATCTTTTGAAGTAGATCACCAGGCCTTCTTCCAAGGTGCCTCCAGGTGGACTCGATCCACGAACCTTTCCTTTTGGTTAGCAGCTGAGTGCTTTACCATTTGCAGCACCCAGGGACCCCAGGATTAGGGAAAGGAGCCACAAAACTGAGTGTTATACTGTGGAGTGGTGTCATGTAATCACGAGGCATTTGCTACCTCTTCTATCGGAACAGCAGCTACCATGAGCACATCTTAATAGACACAAGCTTTTGCATTTGATAGTGTATTTAACAGGGTGTCGGTCAACAAGAAACACTAAGCAGAAGTTGCCAAAGACGTTTTGTGGAAATCTAAAGGAAATGGCCAGTTCTGGTTTGTCTTCTTCTGAGCCTTTTTGGTTTTTAGAAACTCTGTGCCTTTCTCAGCTTTTCTCATGAAAAGGATTTGCACAGATGAAAGAAGCTATATTTAACACCTCTGGATAGTCCTCTGAAGGTTAGAATAATCAAGAGATGAGTTCCTGAAAATAGTGTTTGCAGACTCATAAAGTTCTTGGGTGCGAGGCACAAATCCCATATGAAAACTGTTTAGTGAAGTCACTGTGTTTCTAGGTAAGTAAAGAACCTATAAATTGTTCCTTATGACCACAGTCTGCTCTGCCTGTTTTCAGGAAGGACTACTCGGGGGAGTACACAATCTACCTGATCCCTTGCACAGTGCAGCCCACACAGCCATGGGTTGACCCAGGAGAGAAGCCTTTGGCCTGCACCGCACATGCCCCAGAAAGGTAGGGAAATTCATCGGCCTATTCCCATGTCACACCTGAGATTGTCCCTGTGCCATATGCTCATTCATTCAACCAGTATTTATTAAGATCTTATCATGTGCTTTGCTCTGGCCTAGGTGTTGAGATTATAGCATTAGATTATAGCAGGGGATTAAAAACCAAATCTCTGCTCCTAGGCAGTTTATATCCTAGGGCCTCCTTTCTAGGAGCTGAACAAAGTATATAGAAAACACCTTTTAGAGAAGATGCTGAAAAGAGTCTTACATTAACTTCAAAAGAAGACAATGTGTTCCTTTAAGAGCTATCTATATGGGATCAAAGTGAAAGCAGCAACTGAGAAGATTAGATAGGAATCTTAGGGGCCAGTGATTTTATGTTAATGAGTGAGGAACAACCTGGAAAAGGAGGGTGAGAATGGTTGCACAACTCGAAAAATGTAATCAGTGTCACTGAATTGTACATGTAGAAATGGTTGAATTGGTGTATGTTTTGCTGTGTATATTCTCAACAACAAGAAAATGAAGTAAATAAAAAAGCTTATAAAAATTTTCAAAAAAGAAGACAATGTGAAAAATGACTTTAAATTAAGAGACAGAGAATTGGCCATTGGATTTGGCACTGGAGGTCATTGATGACCTTGACAAAGGGCATTTTTAGTGGGTGGGTGGGGATAAAAGCCTGGTTAAAATGGGTTCACGAGAGAGAAGTGAGAAAGTGAGACAGTGGGGATAAACAACACGTAAGAAGTGTTCCTGTAGAGGATGGCCGAGAAGTGAGACAGTAATAGATGCAGATTTGGGGGATGGGGGGGCATCAAAGGAGCGTTTTATTAGTGTTTTAAGGTAGAAAATACTTCATAATGTTTGTATGATGGTGGGAATAATCCAAAAGAGAGAAAACTTTGATGATGCAAAGGAGAAAAGAAAAACTTACAGAGCAATGTCATTGAGTAGGGAGAGGGGATGGGTCCAGTGCCCAGGTGGAAGGGTTTACCTTAGCTAGAAGCATAGAGAGTTCATCCACTGAAGGGGGGAGGAAGACAGAGTTTACGGATACAGATGAAGGTAGGATTAGTAGATCTGGAGGGTAAGGATGACAAAGTCAACATCTGATTGAATCTATTTTCTCCACGAAATGAGAAGCCAGGCATTAGCTGAAAGTGAGGAACTTTGAAGTTTGAGAAGAGAGGGAGTGAGAAAGAGTCCTCTCAGAGAGAGGAAAGTAAGTTTATGAGAGGGTTATACATAATAATAGATCAGACAGTGCTGAGGGCCCAAGTGAGTGTTGTTATTTTGTTTGTTTTTTAACTGGGATATAATTGATACAAAATAAACTGCACATATTTAAAGTATACAGTTTGTAAAATTTTGACATATGTAGCTACTCATAAAACATTACCACAATCAAAATAGAAAACATATCTATTACCTCCAAACATTTCCTTGAGCCTCCATATAATCCCCCCTCCCACCCTGTCTCACCTTTCTCCCCCAGGTAACCATTAATATGCTTCCTGTCACTACAGGTTAGTTTACATTTTCTAGAATTTTATATAAACAGCATCGTATAGTATGCAATCTTTTTCTCTGTCTTCTTTCAATCAGCGTGGTTATTTTGAGATTTATCCAGGTGGTTGTGTGTAACAGTAGTTTTTCCTGTTATTACTGAGTAGCATGAGCATTGCATGGAATGGATATACTACAATTTGTGTATCAGTTCATCTGTTGAAGGACATTTGGGTTGTTTTTAGTTTTTGGTGATGATAAACAAAGCTGCTGTGAACATTCACGTATATGTTTTTGTATGGACATATGCTTTCTACTTTCTTGCGAAAATGCCAAAAATGGAATGGCTGGATCATGCAGTAGATGTATGCTTAACTTTTTAAAAAACTGCCAAACTGCTTTCCAAAGTGTTGGTAAATATGTAACTATGAGTGTACATTCCCACCATCAGTGCAGTAGTGTCCTGGTTCCTTTGCATCCTTGTAAAAGTGGCCAGGGAGGTCTTGGTGTGGCTGAAGAATCAGTGACTGGGAGTAAAAGAAGTGAGCTGGGAAGACAGGAGGTGGTGGTTAGAGAGTGAAGGGTTGGGAAGTGAGATTTTTGGAAGTGGCGCATAGTGTAACTATGAAGAGTGGGTGGCTGTAGTGGGGTGGAGGATAAGCTCTTTGGAGGTGATGAAGTAAAGGAACTGAGAGGCTAGGGTATTGGATGTTTCAACTCTGTGGATGTTGAAATCACCAAGACTGATAGCAGGAGCAATGCTAGAGAGCACCATAGGCATCCCAGTGAGGGAGGGAGGGTGACCAGGAAAATGGTAGTTAGCTACAGTCAGGAATAATAGAGAAGGTATAAACTGATGGAATATGCTGGGGAATTTTTATTCATTTATTAAATGTTTTAATTATGAAATATTTCAGGTATACAGAGACCACATATAATGGATATATAAAATATAAAAAACAATAAAACAAACACCTATAAATCTACCACCCACATCAAGAAATAGAATGTTACCAATACCTTTTAAATACCTTATGTTCCCCTATCCAATCACATTCCTGTCCTCCTCCCCACTAAGGTAAACACTAGCCTGGTATTTGTGTTTATCATCCCTTACCTCAGCTTACGATTTTACCTCATATTTATTTCCACATGATTTTGCGCATTTCTGAACTTTATGTAAAAATTTCATGCTGCATGTAGTCTCCATGCAGCTTTTTGTTATTGTTGCTGTTGTTCAGTGAATCATTTGATTTGTGTGGATTCGTGTAGCTGTATTTGATTTTTCACTGTGTTAAGGTATTCATTGCGGGAATATTCCACAATGTATTTCACCACTGTATTTGGCTTATGGAGGCACAGTGGTTAAGAGCTATGGCTGCTAACCAAAAAGGCGGCGGTTGGAATCCACCAGCCGCTCCTTGGAAACCCTATGGGGCAGTTCGACTGTGTCCTTAGAGTTGCTAGGAGTCGGAATTGACATGACGGCAATGGGTTGATTTGGTTTGGTTTATGTGGCTTATAATTCCAGATTTTTTCTATTACAGAGAATGTTTTTACATACATGTCTCTTGGTGCACATGTGTAAGAAGAGTTATCCAGGGTAGGTGCTGGATTTTTTTAAAAAGAGAGAGAGGAGCAAAGGCTTTAAATGGAAAAAAGGAGCAAGGATGGCACCCACCTGAAATCCAGGCTGGGTGCTACGTGGGTGTGGGAAGCTGCAGGGGGAAGAGTGGCATGAGGACACCGAGGCTTCAGAGTTAAGTATCCTTACCTTCCTCAGAGGAGCCTGGTGGTGCATCAGTTAAGCACTGGGCTGCTAACTAAAAGGTGTGCAGTTTGAACCCATCCAGCAGCTCTTTGGGAGAAGGACTTGGTGATCTGCTTCTGTAAAGATTACAGCCTTGAAAAACCGATGGGGCAGTTCTACTCTGTCTCTTGGGGTTGCTATGAGTCAAAAATCAGCTGGAGGACACCTAACAACAACAAGCTTATATTAGGGAGATCTTCACTTGTGGATTTCCCGTTATTCCCTTCCCCTGGCCCTAACCTTGCATTTGGTCATCTCTGTGGCTCCAGTGATATCTAGGTGCAATAGAATTGTAACACAAAAAAAATCAAGACTGACTCAGGGAATTTAGACTTGATTCACAAGAATTGTGTCTTATGATTTCTTTGTGTGCATGAGGTTTGACATATATTATAACTTAATAAATAGTAATCTCGGTCCCATTATTCACTCAATTTAGTTAATAAATATTTATTTAGTGTCTCCTTATGTGCTAGGCACTGTGGTAGATTCTGGTAATACTGGTATCAACAAGAAAAATCTGTTCCCTGGAGCCAAGTAAATGAGCTGTTGGTGCAACTAACAGCTATCTCAGAGCTACTGTGGTAGATTCTGGTAATACTGGTATCAACAAGAAAAATCTGTTCCCTGGAGCCAAGTAAATGAGCTGTTGGTGCAACTAACAGCTATCTCAGAAGCCGGGGAAAGCCTGGCTTGTGTGGCCACAAGTTCATCCTACACCCCTGCCCACTCAAATCAACCCAGCAAGCTGATTCTGTTTCTTGAATAGAAACTAAGAAATGGTCAGATGGACTCTATTGAAAGAGTAAAGAAAGCATTTAAGTTATCTACCTTTCATTCATCTCTTTAGCAAATATATGTGTCAGGAGCTTGGCTAGGGATGGCAGTACACTGGTGAGCAAACAGACATGGACTTTACGGAACTTGTCGTGAGCGAAGTTGACTTTAAGCAGATAATCACACATTTCAGTAAAATTTCAAACCATGATAAGAACTGTGAAAGAAAAGTGCAAAATGTAATGGGAACAGATGATGAGGGGTCTGACCTAGCCTGGAAGGTAAGGGAAAAAAGGGAACACTTCCTAGAGAAAGTGGTGTTTGATTACCCAGTTGAGATATAAAGGGAAAATAAGAGTTAGTTAAGCAAAGGATAGTGGGCATAGTAGGAGAGAATGTTCTGGCAGAGTGTACAGCAAGGTCAAAGCCAGAAAACTTTAAATTCATTACTAAAAAAACAAAAAACAAACCAAAACCATTGCCATCGAGTAGATTCCGACTCTTAGTGACCATATACAACAGAGTGGAACTGCCCCATAGGGTTTCCAAGGAGCAGCTGGTGGATTTGAACTGCTGACCTTTCAGTTAGCAGCCGTAGCTTTTAACCACTGCACCACCAGGGCTCCAATTCATTACTACTAGTCTCAAATAAGTTTTTAAGGCTTCCTAGCAAAGCACAATGTTTCCCTAATCCATTTACTCTCTCAGTCTTCGAAACTATTTCATCCCTTCTTCCCCTCAAAATGCTACATCTCCCCTGTCTTCATCCTCAGCTGATTACCATGTGTTCTGGTTCACTGAGAAAACAGAAGAAATCAGAAAAGAACTCACACAAGCTTCTACCATCATATCTATCCACTTAATGCATCAATAAGGTGTCCTGGTGGCACAGTGGTTAAGCGCTTGGCTGCTAACCAAAAGGTTGGTGGTTCGAACCCACCAACTGCTCTACAGGAGAACGATGTGGCAATCTGCTTCCATAAAGACTACAGCCTTGGAAACCATATAGGGCAGTTCTGCTCTGTTGTATAGGGTCGCTATGACTATGAGTCAGAATTTACTCAATAGCAACGGGTTTAGTTTTTTTTAATGCATTAGTGCATACATACCTGTTAGTATAAGTGAATGGTCTGCATTTCTATCCAAAGCCAGCCCCTCCATTTGAGCACTAGAACCCATACCCTCTTGCCTACTAAAGAACATCTCACAAGCAATTCTCCGTTCTTTGAATCACTCCATTCACCATAAAAACATTCTGTAATTTCTCCCATCTTAAAAAAAAAAAAAATCCTTTCTTGGCTCCAGTTCTCTTTCCACACCCATTTTTCTCCCTTTTACTCCAAAAATGCCTCTAAAAAGTTGTCAATATTCACTGTTTCCAAATTATTTCCTTCCATCATCTCTTGAACCCACTCAAATCAGGCTTCTGCTCACACCATCCAACCCAGAGTTCTCTTATTAAGCTCTCTAATGATTCCATGTTAGTAGATTCTGTGGTTGTGTCTCAGTCTTCATTTTCTTGACCACTCAGCAGCATTTAACAGTTGATCAGTCTCTCCTTCTTCAGATGCCTTCTTCACGTGGCTGAGGTATCGTTCTCTGCAGGTTTTTCTCCCACCTCATTGGCTTTTCCTCTCTCTCTTTTTTTCTAATCCCTTCTCTTTCCCACAGACTTCGAATTAGTAGTGCCTGTCTCATGCTTGAACAGTCTCCTCTCCACAGCTTGGTGATCTCGTCTAGTCTCAAGACTTCAAATACAAAGGTGCCTCTCCAGCCTAGGAATTACCTCTAAAATTCAGACTTGTACATCAAGTTGACTACTCAGCATCTTCACTGGGCTCTCCTATCTGCCTCTCAAACTTAACACATCTGAAACTGAATTCCTCATCTTCTCCACCAAATATAATCCTTCTCCAGTTTTCCCATCTCAGTTAAAGGCAGCTCCAACTTTCAAGGTCAATGGTCAGCAGATTACATACAGCCCATGGTCCAACTCCAGCTCCTTATCTGATTTTGTAAATAAAGTTTTATTTGAGAACATGGCCCTACCCATTCATTTACATATTGTCTGTGGTTGCTTTTCTGCTACAACAACACATTGACTAATTGTAATAGACCATATGGCCTGCCAAGTCTGAAATATTTACTCTCTAGCCATTTACAGAAAAAGTTTGTGGACTCCTACACTAAGTGCTTACATCTAAATCCTTAAAAACACTCTTGTGTCCTTTCTTATTCTGAGATTCTTCTTAGACCCCACATGCAATCTGTCAGCAAAGCTTGTGGGCTCTCCTTTAAAATATATTAAGAATCTAACCATCCTCATCTCCTATATGGCAACTGTCCTGGTCAGAACCAGTATCATCACTTGCTGGATCATTGCAATATCCTCCTAATAGGTCACCCTGCTTTCACCCTCTAGTCTATTCTCAACAGAGCAGTTACCACTCCCCTTTTCAAAACCCTCCAACAATTTTAAAAAAACCCAAAGTCTGAGACATGGCCCCCAGCTACCTTTCTGCATCATCTTCCTTAACTCACTTGATTTCAGTCATCCTGGCTGGTTGGCTGTTCCTCTAACATATTGGGCACATTCTGACACACTTATACCCCAGAACCTTTGCACTTGCTGATTCCTTTGCCTAGAGAGCATCCTCCCAGATATCTACATGTCTTGCTCCCTTACCTCCTTAAAGCCTTTCCATGAATGTTTTCCTCTCACTGAGGCCCTCCATAACCACCTTATTTAAAATTTCCAACTGAACTCCTCCTAGTCCCATCTCTGCTTATTTTTTTCCTTATCACCTGTTACCTTCTAGCATACTATATTATTTTTTTAACTTATTTTGTTTACTTATTTTTTGTCTTTCCCCATTAGCGTATAACCTTGTTTTGTGCACAGATAAATTCATATCATTAGAACAGTGTCTATCATATAATAAATACTCGATAAATATTTGTTGAATAAATGAATTCTGAGGCAGTAGAGAACATGACACATTTTGGAAACCTAAAGAAGGCCAGTCTGGCTAGATCCCAAAGAAAGGGGGGAGAGTAGCAAAGGATGAGGCAGAAAAAATAGGCAAGGGTTAGAGCTTGAGAGATCATGTCAAAAATGTTGATCTTAACCCTAAGAGCCATGGGAAACCACTGAAGGATTTTAAACAAATTTAAGGTTTTAAAAGATTATACTAACTTATCAACCACAGTGTATAGAATAGAATAGAAGAAACAGAGAGTGACTCCAGAGAGACAGGAGGCTTGTGCCTGTGGTGTGGCCATTTGCTGGGATAAAAACACTAGAAGGAAGATCAAGTTTGTAAGGGAAGAACTTGTTGAGTTTGAGGTGTCTTTGAGACAGCCAAATGGAGCTGTCATTGACAGCTGGATACATGTGTCTAGGGCTCAGAGGAGAAATCTGGATTAGAGAATTAAATTTGGAATGACTACTATAGAGATGGCAAATGAACTCAACAATTGGGCTGAGATTACCCAGGGCAAAATTATATAGTGAGAATATGAGACCTAGGACTGAGTCCTGAAGAGCCATCACTGGCCAGAGGGAAGCAAGGAAGGAAAGAGTAGATTCAAAAGCCTGAGGAAGAGGGCCAGGAGTAAGGGACGAGGCAGGAGAGTATCACCTAGCAATATCCTGAAGGATTAATAAATTTTGATCAGGTAGGAAAGGGTCAAATTCTCAGCATTTGGATCTAGGAAGGAGGAGTCTAACTGAGGCACCATAGTCATGAATGAGCCCCTTTGCAGTCAAAGAAAACTTTGGGGGCCTCAGAATAAAAGGGCCAAAAAACAAAACAAAACAAAAAAAGAACAAAATATAAAGGGACAACATGACGAATGTAATCAATGTCCCTTAAATTGTACATCTAAAAATTGTTGAATTGACAGATGTTTTGTTATATATTTTTCTACAATTAAAAAGAAAAACCAAAACTGATGCAAAAAAAAAAGAAGCAGCAGCAAAGGATGCCAAAGGGTGGCACAAAGAGTTCCCACTTGACTACTAACCAAAAGATCAGCAGTTTGAACCCACCCAGTGGTTCCCCTGAAGAAAGGCCTTGGTGATCTGCTTCTGTAAAGATTATAGCCAAGAAACCCTATGGAGCAGTTCTACTCTGTAACACATTGGGTCACCACAAGTTGGAATCGACTTGATGGTAATGGGTTTGGGTTTTTATTGCTGTTGTTTGTTTACCAAAGATTTCTAAAAATTAGTTCGATTATTTCTGTCCGAAAGAGCAGATTAACTTCATAATGACCAAACTAATCAAGTCTTCCCACACACAGCTTTTTATTCAGCAAATATTTAGCACCTACAGCAAAGTGCTGTTCATAGTCTTGAGAACGGTGCGGGAGGGAGGGCAGCTGGAATGATATGTGCAAAGTTGACCCTGCTCTCAAAGAGCTCTTGTTTCTCCTACATTTAGATTTCTGATACCCATTGCGTTCCAGCAGACCAACCGCCCCGTGCCAGTTGTCTATTCTCTCAATACTGAATTTCAGCTCTGCAATAACGAGAAGGTGTTCCTAATGGATCCCAACACATCTGATATGTCACTGGCAGAAATGGATTACAAAGGAGCCTTCTCAAAAGGTAAGTTGCGTCCGTTGCCTGCAGAAAGAGGCTCTGCCTGGACTTGAGAAGCTTTGGGGTAAGTCCCTAGACCAGTATCTCTACTGATCTTCAACTTTTAGCCAACTCCCCAGTGAAGTTTCCCCCAGCATTGGTTCCAGAGCAGTCAAGGTTTAACCAAGGAACAGACCCATACTCTTCCTTCATGTTGTTTCAAAATAAGATTACATACTTGGTAGATACTCCGGCACTATAATGATTGACAGGGTGGCACCATGCTTATTAGAAGCAAGGATGGTGAGACTTTGTCTTGCTTACTTTGGACATGTCATCAGGAGAGACCAATCACTAGAAAAGGGCATCATGTTTGGTAAAGTAGCAAGTAGAGAAAATGAGGGAAACCCTCAGGGAGATGGATTGACACAATAGCTGCAACGGTGGGCTCAAACATACATTCAGTTATTGTGAAGACAGCTCAAAACCAGGCAGTTTTGTTCTGTTATATATAAGGTCATCATGATATAAGGTCATCATGAATGGGAGTTGACTCGATGGCAGCTAACACCACCACCACCACCACCACCACCACCATGAGAAAATACTGTTCTGATTGGTAAGAAGACTGGAGTTTCCAACCAGATTCTAACACACAGTCTAACTTTGAGTAAATTGCTTTCTCTTTCAAGTCCTCAGAGAGATAGCAATACCAGCCCCCACTGCCTCCCAGCCTCAAAGGGATGCCAAACACATGTGTACTTTCCATCATACTTTTCTCATCTTAAAATGGTCCCTCTGCCCTGTTCCCACCCCAAATGTGGTTCTCTTAACTTCAAAAAGCTAGCTCTTTCTTGTCATTCAGCCCTCTACTTAAATGTGACCTCCTCAAAAAGGCTTACCCTGACTACACCAGACAATTTAACATAGGCCTCCATACTGTTCACCTTCATAACACTCCTCTCATTTCTTATAGTACTTATCACAATTTCTAATATTATGTAATATATATACGTGTATATATTTGATTTATTGTATATCTTCACCACTAGATTGTAAATTCTATGAGAACAGAGATTTTCATCAAATATCAAATTTATACCCTGTACCACCAATGCCTAAGTACACAATAATTATTTGTTGAAAGAATAAATGAATTAATCAGCCACCTGTCTTTACTCTCTCAATCACTCCTTCTGCCTTTTATTGCATTTAATCTCTTCGTATCTGAGCCTTTTCTTTCATCCTTAAAACTCACTCAAGTCATGTCCATCAGGGGAAAAAAACCTTCCCTTGTCTCCCCTCTCTCAAATGTCAGCCTAATTTCTCATTTTTCCTTCTCTGACCAATTTCCTAAAGAAGCACTGTCTCCGTGGCTGCTCTGCACAGTCATTCCTCATTCTTCTGTCTGTCTGCTGCAGGCTGCATTCTCTCTTATCGTGTCTCTAAACTGTATTTTATTGATGACCCTAAATCCATGAGTTTTGACATTCTTCTGTTTGGTTTCCTCACCTGACACTGTCTTGCCTCTTTGACCACTTCTCATTTTCCAGCCCTAGGTCCCTGTCCTCTACTCCTGCGTAGCTCTGTTCTGTTCTCACTCGATGCTACCTCTGGTCCATCTCCTCCATCCCCATGGCTTTGACCATCCCTTTACTCTGAACTTTCTAAACTTCTACTACCCCTCA